AAAAGAGTCTTTTTTTTTTAAAAAAAAGCAATAGATACATTTGGGAAGTGCCCAAGGAGGGGAAGTTTTAAATATAATCGACCTAGCCATTCCAGATGCACGCTGCAAAGTTGGGGGCCCGGCCACCCCTTCTTTGCTCCCAGCTTTTTTTCGTCGCAGTCCAACCTCTGGAAGTGTTGAGTTCCCAAACGCTTTAGGGATCTCCTGCTCTGCAGGTGGAATCTGATCTGCCCGCAAAGGGGCAGGGAGCTTCCACCCCAGAGGCTGAACTCTCCCTGCGTTAGGGGTCAGGGCAAAGGTGACCAACGTCCCTTGGAGCGCTGGATTTTTGGCTCTACCTGGACAGGTTTGGGGCCAGATTGAAACAGGGAAGCCGGCTTCATCTAGCCACAATTGCCCGGGTTGGAAATCAAGCAGGGACCTGCGTCGTCTCTTCGTTGGCGGAAGCATTTGGTTGGGGTCGTGGTGACTTGGGGTGACCCCAGGCCTTGCAAGAAGCGAAGCAGAAGCCTCGGAGGCTGATCCCTTCAGTGGGATCAAACGGCCCTTAATGGTCAAGATCCTTAAGTCGTTCCGACTTCTTTTTTCAGATCATCCGAACTCAGGGATTTATTTGGAGGATCCAAGAGGGGATCTCTTTGGGCTGGCTTGAAACTTGCGAAGAAAATGTACGTGACTTCTTCATTTAGGGCTTTTAGATGTTGGGAACCCTGGGTGGTTTAAATAAATGCACCCACACACCTCCCTTAACACCTTGCTCTTAACCACTGTCTGAGATTCCCTTTTAACCAGGACGAAGGGGCGACTTTAGCACATCCTGCAAATCAAGTAGTAAATTAAAAAAAAAAGTCCGATCTTTCCTTGTCCTACAGCGCACCCTGCTGGAGATCAGGTTGTGGCGCAGGGCTGAGAGAAGACTAGGTAGAGAGCACCCATCATCCCTGGCCGGCCCCGTCCCAGCAGCAGCTTTGGGGAGGCTTCAGCGGCACTCACTGCTCCACAAGATGATCATGTATGGGATCTCTCAGGATGGATTTGGGCCAGTCCCTCTCCCTCAATCGAGCCTACCTCGCAGGATGGTTGGGGTGGGGGAATCAGAGGGAGTGCCGCCTTGAGCTCCCGAATGAAAGGCCAGGATATAAATATGGTATGTAAAAATGTATACTTGGCCCAAGGATAGTAATTTTCTGACGTTTTCCCATCTGGAGAATTCAGAATTTTGCATCCTCTTTTGAGCCGTTGCCCAACCGCAGATAATAAAAATGTGCCTCTGTGCACGCAGGGAATATATTGAATTTGTAGAACGGTGCGTTCTCGCTGGCCAAAATCCCTAGCTGTCTTGGGTTCGAATCTTGCCTCAAGTCATGCATTGGGCGGGTTTACTGAGACACCCCGTTTCCTAATATCCTAGCTGTGCCCGGCTTTTTACGAAATAGAGATCCCTGCCCTCGCCTCTCGGTGCCAAGGCTGAAAAGAAATCAGAATTTACCTTGGGGTTGCTTTCGGTAAGATAGAAAGGCCAGGCAGTGAATCAGAAAAGATTTGCAGGAAAAAAAAAAAGTGGATTTTGAAGGCTGGAGATTGAAAGGATATTGAGGAGCAGGAGGGTGGATTTATTTCGAGAGGCAGATCCCGACAATCAATCAATCAGAGCAAGGGAGACTGTGCAGAATTGAAAAGAGCAGGATTGGGGGGGCGAGGGGGACACTTCACTAGCAGCGTGGGAGAAAATTGGAGGTCGGAGGGCTCCAGGAATGGAAGGAAGAGACGGGAAGAACTTGCAGCCACTCCTCTTGTGCCTCATGCTTTTAATGAAAATTTAAAACCGACATTGAGGCGAGTGTCTAACATACCTCTGGATCAAAAACCTGGTTAACTATTCTCCAAAATGTTTGTACGTGCAGCTCGGCTGTGGAAAGAAGTCTGGGAAAGTTACTAGCTGTGGAAATATGTTTATATCTATATATCTCTATCTCTATACATCTAGATCCGTGTTGCTCAGCTTCAGCTGCTTAACATGGGTGGACTTCAACTCCCAGAATTCCCCAGCCAGCATGCTGGCTGGGGAATTCTGGGAG